AATACCCAAGCACTCGTTTTCTCAGACAGTTTTATTTTTATTTTTTCATTATTTTTTTAATTATTTTTATTATATATTTTTTTTTGTGGAGAGGTTTTTTTTTCTCTATAGGGCGCGTGCGCTTGTCACAGAGAAAGAGAGACAGACAGAAAGCGAGAAATCACCCCCTAGAGGGGACCACGTTGCAATCCCTTCTCCATTCTCCTCTCGGGATCTTGGGCACGCACGCACATATTCCTGGAGTGAGTTTAAGCCACTGGTCTGGGACTCGAACTGCGGTCCGACTACATGGGAGTCCAGCGACATAGCCATTACGCTAACTGCTGGTCCCAAGACCGGATCTAAGTAGGTCACATACTGGAGAACACGGAGCCCCGGGATTGGGATCACTTTCGTGTCACGGTTTAATCTAGCCCCACATCCAGGGGCATCCATTAAGCATCGCATTTATGTGTAAGACTTAAAATAGAATTCCTATTTTGTATTAAGAATATTTTGATGTCTGATGTCTCCCAACTATTTCCCCTCCAATACAGATTGAGTACAAGGTGTTAATCCATTTTTAAGCACTTTTGACCTATGTTACACATGAAGTTTTCTGTGCACTGCAGAAAGATGTCTTCCCCTAGCTCTTTGCATCCTTTATCATTCTGTTCTCATTACATCTCTTCACCTGCTACTCTGCTGTCAAACTAGCGTGTCAAGGTTATGATTAGATTAAACATTTGGTTCTTGCTGTTAGCAAAGCGTGTTGGGTTTTGCTTTGTTCCCCACCGTGCCCCCCAGACATTCATTTATTTTAAAGATTTTTGCCATAGGGTGCCTGCACTTAAGAGATAGTGTGAAGTCACCCTGCCCGAGGATGGCTGCTCTGCAATCCCTTCTCCATTGGGATTTTGGGCACACTCGCATGCACCAGTGTGATTTTTAAGCCTTTGGGTCTTGAACTGGAACCGCAGTTGACCACGTGGGAGTCCAGCGCCTTTTCCCTTAGGAAAGGAGGAGTGGCTTCTGCTGCTGCGGTTCTTCCAGATTAATTGCTTGTTACAGGTTGTAAAGTGCTTAAGTGCTTTTGTTTAATGTGTTAATTGTGTTAAGTACACACTGTAGGGACATTTATTACCGACATGATGACAGGGCGGTGATTTTAGAGAATTAGGGTGTACAACTACAAGGGCTACCTGTTTACTCAGCGTGAGTCATTGCTTTTGTCACCCTTGGGCAGAAACCACCTGTGAATTTAATAGCAGTAGGTTTACATTGTGTTTTCCTTTTTTTATTTTTCTTTTTTTAAGAGGCTTGTTTGTTTATTTATTTATTTGCAATAGGGCGTGTGTGCTCACCAGAAAGACAGGCAGACAGAAAAGGAGAAATCACCCCCCAGGGGGGATGGCCACGCCACAGTCCCTTTTCCATTCTCCATTTGGGATCATGGACACACACACACACAAACACACACACACGGGTGCGCACCCGGCGTGAGTTTAAGCCACCAGGTCCAACTACATGGGAGTCCAGTGACATAGCCATTACACCAACTGCTGCTACCACAATTTTATTTATTTTTTAAAGAGATTTTTGGGGGCTGGTGGGTGGCGTGGTTAAGGCATCTGGACTCCCTCCCACATGGCTGACCACAGTTTGAGTCTTGGACTTGGCAGCTTGCTTTCTTGCTTTCCTTCTCTCTCACTGTCTCTGGTCAACTTCAAAAAAATAAAATACAAAAAATAATGACAAAATTAAAAAAAAAAGATTTTTGATATAAGGTGTATGTGCAAGAACCCCCTCCCTCCCCAAGGGGGGATGGCTATGCCACAATCCCTTCTCCATCCTCTTGGTTCCTTGGGCACATACTCACACGCTCCTGGCCTGAGTTTTAAGCTTCTGGGTCTGGGACTGGAACTGCCGTCCACTGGGAGTCCAGTGATGTAACCATTATGCCATCTGCTGGTCCTCATTGTGTTCTCCTTTAAATCCCTTCTTTCTGGAATGCCAGTAAGTTCTACAGTATGGTTTCTAGCCCCCCACTTCCTCTCCAGCTTCCCAAATGTCCTTTGAGCCTTTGGGAAACCTTTTTAAAATGGTGTTCTGGATTCACGAGGAAGCGTCAGTGAAAAGGGACTGCACTGATCTTTTGTCTGTACTACTGTATCCTGAGACTCAGGGCACACTGCAGCTATTGAGTTGAATGGAAGTTAAGGTTTCTGAGTGTGCATACTTTTATATGTTTATTTCCATGCTCATTAAATATTTTTGATCTGAGGCAGCTGTTCGTTCTTCAGGTGTTGTCTTAAATCTTGGTGATTTCCTCTTTTGAATGACAGAAGGCTTACTTCCTAATAATTAACAAATTTACTGACCCAGGATAGGAGTTGGGATTAGTTTAAAAATGAAATTGCTTTACCTTCCTATACTATAATATTTGGAACTCAGAGTATTTGAGACATGCCATCAAGTTGACAGATTCCTTTAACATAGTAATGTTTTCCTTTCCTCAATGCTGTTATAAAATTGAATGAAGGGCCAGTTCCAAGTCCTGGTGATTAAGTCACCTAGATCCCACATAGCCAACTGCGTGGTTTGAGTCCTGAATCTGGCATCTTGAGAAGTACGCTGGATATGTTGTATATATGCCCCAAATCCTAAAAGTAGGAAGAGATGGAGGAGAAGGGATTGTGGTATGACCATTCCCCATGGGGAGTGTTTTCTCCTCGCTCTCCTCACCCTCCTCTCTCTGGTGAGGGCACACACCCACTAACAACAACACAACAGTGCTTAAAATTGAATGAACACCTTTTAATCAATCTGTGTATTTGAGGGGAAAATAGTGGTAGGGAGACATCAGACATCAAAATATTCCTAATAAACTATTTAGACATTCCATTTTAAGTTTTACTACTACACTCATAGAAGCAAGCTGGTCAGTATGAAGTAGCATAGGAAGAATAAATGCTGAGGTCCTAACAGTTTAATGGACGTCTTGTATACAATTCATTCCTGTCTACTGTGTGGCTCTAGGGATCTTGAGTGTTTGGAATTCCCACTTTCTTGTCAGCCCCTAACATCTACCCACTGTCTTTGCTAGTTTCCTTTCCTGTCCTTTTCCCTGTGATGTCTTCTCTGGATTATTGAAAACGATAGCTTCCCTAATTTTTTCAGTCTGCCTCATCACATGTTTCTTGGATGATCTCTGCTTCCTTTCTGCATTCCCCTGTATGCCTGCTGTCTCACTCTGAGACTAGAATTGGTAACAGATAATAATGGGTGAATAGTGGTTCACATAACCTGCAAACAGGCTGCGTCAGAGCTGTATGCAGGCGTTATGGTCAGTAGAATTATTGTCACTAATGTTTCTTTCTTTACCTTCAGCTCCTGAGACTTTCACCTTTGTTTGCTCTGGGAATAAACACAGGTAGATGATGCCAGCTGTATTAGCAGCCAGGCCCCAGGTGAGCTGGATTTCTTCAGCCTCAGTATATATACATGTGTGTACAAATATGCACCTTTATGTGTGCACATATAAAAAAGAATGTACTTTTGTATATACATGTGTGTAAATTTTTCACTGATGTTAAGCTTACATACAACATAAGTCAATAGAGCTCACTGTTTAGAAATATATATATACCTGTATGACCATCAGTTATATCAAGGCATGGAACACTATTAGCACCTCAAAATGACCCTTCACGCCCCCTCCCAAGCAGTCTACCAACCTAAAGTTAGCCACTATTCTGGGGAACACCAGGTGGCATGGTGGCTAAGGGCACTGGACTCCCACACGGCTGATCATGGTTCAAATCCTAGGCCTGGTGGCTTGCTTTATCACTTTCTCTCTGTTTCTCTCTCACTCTGTCCCTTTCTGGTCAAATTAAAATGAATAAATGTTGGCATCTGCCCTAGAGCTTGGGTCTATCTGAATCATGATCAGAGGGCTGCTGGTGAATAAGAGAAAGAGGATGAGAGTGAGAAAGCCCTCCATCTCGAGAGGACCGGGGAATTGGAAAGAATGAGACAAAGACATAGAGTAGAAATGGACACAGGCAGCCTGAGCCTAGGTAGCCCAAGCAACTTGTGCCGCACTTGAGCCGCTGCTTGAGCCACCCAGTCAAACTGGACCTCTTTATAGTACAAGGAGACATTACACATGTATGTTTCATGACACTTCATAGATTGGTTCCCAGGTTACAGACAATAAGAAGCAGTTAACAAATCTATAAGGGCTTAGTCATACTGGGCCAGGTATATCCCTTGGTGATAATCCCATCAAGAGAAAGTCTCCTCTCTCTTTTTTTTGGAGAAGTTTTTGCTGTAGGGCACGTGCACTCGCCAGACAGACAGAGAGAGACAGAGAGACAGAAAGCAAGAAATCACTCCTTCAGGGGGAATGGCCATGCTGCAATCCCTTCTCCTTCATTCTCCTCTTGGGATCTTGGGCACGCACACACACACACCCGGCGTGAGTTTTAAGCCACTGGGACGCGAACCGCGGTCGACTTCATGGGAGTCCAGCGACAGCCATTACATGCTAACTGTTGGTCCCCAGAAAGTCTCATCTTTTCTAATGCAGAAAAACCTAGCTGTAGGTGTGGGGAAGAAGCTAAAGAACTTCTCCATAAGGAGTGCACCACCACATCCAGAGAAGGCTAAAGAACCTTTCAGATACAGAGCAAGGATTGGACTTTGCTAATTGGGGTCAAGATATTTCTTGAAGTCCATCAGATGTGTCTTTTGGCACGCCCTAGCAATTTCCACCCTTGCTCTGTCTGCAGTAAAGGTCAGGGAAAGACAAGTTACAAGGTTCTGTCAAACCCCAAAAGAGCAGGTGGTGGTCGCTCAGAGCATGCCCCCACACCTCAGGTTCTCTCCCTAAATGTATCCCCACAAATTAAGTTAAATAAAATTTAAAAAATAAAGTTAACTACTACTCTGACCTTTAGCACCATAAATTAGTTTTATTTGTTCTTGAACTGAATAGAAATAGAATCACTGAGCATATACTTTTGTGTCTGCCTTCTTTCACTCAACATAATGTGTGTGAGCATTACCCATAATTTGTTCTTTTTCATTGTTCGATAGTTTTTTATTATACGATTATACTACATTTTATTCATTCATTCTATAGATGAACTTTTGGCTGTTTCCAGTTTTTGAATATTATGGTTAAGGATGCAGTGACCATTCTTGCTTTTCATTGTGGCACTTATTTTTCTTATGTTCATGAATCTCCCTCGGAGTGAAATTGCTGTTATAGATCATAAGGCTGTATGGGGTCATCTGAAAGTCATGATGTATTTTTCTGTTTCTCTGCAAAAATGCATCCTGACTTTTCTGATGACCCAATACATGTGGTTAGTTTCAGCAGATGGCTGCCCAACAATTTTCTAAAATGGCGGTTCCAATTTATACCTTTACTGGAGGTGTGTAGTGCCTGGTAAGGGTGTTATTTGTTTGTACTATCTTATTGGAGTTTTAAAAAACACTCCTGGAAGGAGGGATGCTGAGCAATATTTCGTATGTTATTGGTTATGTGGATACCCTCTTAGGTGAAGTCCTCACTCAGATAGTTGTCTGTTTTGTGTGTGTGTGTGTGTGTGTGTGTGTGTGTGTATTTTAGTTTTTTACTATAGAACACATGTGCACGCTGGAGAGATGGAGTGAAGGATAGTGGGAAAATGAGAACCTCTTCCTGCCAGGGCCATGGGGGCGGCCACACTGCAATCCCTTCTCCATTTTCCTCTTAGGATTTTTAGGCACATGCGCCAGCATATTTTTCAAGCTGCCTAGTCCAGGACTTGAGCTATGCATTTGGCCATGTGGGATCTAGCCACCTTAACCACCATGCCACTGACTGACCCTGTAGTAGCTTTTTAGTAATTATCTATATAAGTCTTTTGTCAGAGATATGTAATATGAAATATCTTCCAGTCTGTGGCTTGTTTTTTCACTCACTTAATGGTGTCCTTTGATAAACAGATTTTTTTAATTCTCTTTATTTTATTTCCATATTACTATTTCTTTTTTAAAAATTTTTATTGTTTTATTTACATTTAATCACTGTACATCTTTACAGTGTAGAACATGCATTTTTTCAGATTATTTTGGAGAGGTTTTTGCTATAGGGTGCATGTGTTTGCCGGAAAGACAGAGAGAGACAGAAAGCGAGAAATCACCCGTCAGGGGGGATGGCCACGCCACAGTCCCTTCTCTTCCATTTTCCCCTCAGAATCTTGAGTACGTATGCACATGCGCCCAGCGTGAGTTTAAGCTACTGGGTCTGGGACTTGAACTGTGGTCAACTACATGGGAGTCCAGTGACATAGCTCTTACACCAACTGCTGGTCCCAGATTTTTCTTATTTTTAATTGAAGTTTAGTCATGGAGATAGTATTCTATGTTTTCTTCTATAGAATTCTAATTTTCTGCTTAGGTCTGTGATTTATCTCAAATTAAGAGTGTGAAGCAGAGGTCAAAGTTCTGCTCCTCACGGCATGGATATCCAATTTATTCAGGAACATTTCTTGAAAAGTATATCTTTTACCCACTGGATTCCACTGCTTACTTTGTCATATATTTTGCAACCATATGTCTCTGTCTGCCCTTAAATTCTCTATTCAGTTTAATTAGTCTAATTATTTGTCTTTGAACCAGTGTCTCATGACACTCTCTGTTGATGGGGGAGTGAAATAATTTTGCAACATATTATGCTATGGAGGGCTTTCTTCTAAGATTATTTCAAAATATGACAGAAAGATAATCGACAAAACTTTATTTGGCACCTGGCTCATGGTTTCCCTTAATCCCATGTTCCAGGTTGAGACTGCTTACTCTGCAGCTCTGTGTTGGAATACAGAACTGAGCTTCCACTCTAAGGCTCAAAAACTTTCAGTAACTGTGCTTTTGGGCCCATCTGAGCCTCATGCACAAGCTGGTCTAGACTCCAGCTTTTCCTAAGTTAACAGTATTTTCTTTTGTCTTTCTACCTTCACTACGTCTGCATGGAGGCAGGGAGGGAGGAGGTCATTGATAGATCTGAGAGCTTCGTGCCAGGGGTAGTAAACAGGAAGCCGAGCATGATGGAAGGACGGAGTATGAGCAGAGTTGGAAAATGGCAGTAATATGAGCAACCCACATAGTTACTGGGATATATACAGAGGGGAAAGGGGCTTAGAGTTCAGGTGACAGCCAGTGGCACTTATTTTTCTTATGTTCATGAATCTCCCTCGGAGTGAAATTGCTGTTATAGATCATAAGGCTGTATGGGGTCATCTGAAAGTCATGATGTATTTTTCTGTTTCTCTGCAAAAATGCATCCTGACTTTTCTGATGACCCAATACATGTGGTTAGTTTCAGCAGATGGCTGCCCAACAATTTTCTAAAATGGCGGTTCCAATTTATACCTTTACTGGAGGTGTGTAGTGCCTGGTAAGGGTGTTATTTGTTTGTACTATCTTATTGGAGTTTTAAAAAACACTCCTGGAAGGAGGGATGCTGAGCAATATTTCGTATGTTATTGGTTATGTGGATACCCTCTTAGGTGAAGTCCTCACTCAGATAGTTGTCTGTTTTGTGTGTGTGTGTGTGTGTGTGTGTGTGTGTGTATTTTAGTTTTTTACTATAGAACACATGTGCACGCTGGAGAGATGGAGTGAAGGATAGTGGGAAAATGAGAACCTCTTCCTGCCAGGGCCATGGGGGCGGCCACACTGCAATCCCTTCTCCATTTTCCTCTTAGGATTTTTAGGCACATGCGCCAGCATATTTTTCAAGCTGCCTAGTCCAGGACTTGAGCTATGCATTTGGCCATGTGGGATCTAGCCACCTTAACCACCATGCCACTGACTGACCCTGTAGTAGCTTTTTAGTAATTATCTATATAAGTCTTTTGTCAGAGATATGTAATATGAAATATCTTCCAGTCTGTGGCTTGTTTTTTCACTCACTTAATGGTGTCCTTTGATAAACAGATTTTTTTAATTCTCTTTATTTTATTTCCATATTACTATTTCTTTTTTAAAAATTTTTATTGTTTTATTTACATTTAATCACTGTACATCTTTACAGTGTAGAACATGCATTTTTTCAGATTATTTTGGAGAGGTTTTTGCTATAGGGTGCATGTGTTTGCCGGAAAGACAGAGAGAGACAGAAAGCGAGAAATCACCTGTCAGGGGGGATGGCCACGCCACAGTCCCTTCTCTTCCATTTTCCCCTCAGAATCTTGAGTACGTATGCACATGCGCCCAGCGTGAGTTTAAGCTACTGGGTCTGGGACTTGAACTGTGGTCAACTACATGGGAGTCCAGTGACATAGCTCTTACACCAACTGCTGGTCCCAGATTTTTCTTATTTTTAATTGAAGTTTAGTCATGGAGATAGTATTCTATGTTTTCTTCTATAGAATTCTAATTTTCTGCTTAGGTCTGTGATTTATCTCAAATTAAGAGTGTGAAGCAGAGGTCAAAGTTCTGCTCCTCACGGCATGGATATCCAATTTATTCAGGAACATTTCTTGAAAAGTATATCTTTTACCCACTGGATTCCACTGCTTACTTTGTCATATATTTTGCAACCATATGTCTCTGTCTGCCCTTAAATTCTCTATTCAGTTTAATTAGTCTAATTATTTGTCTTTGAACCAGTGTCTCATGACACTCTCTGTTGATGGGGGAGTGAAATAATTTTGCAACATATTATGCTATGGAGGGCTTTCTTCTAAGATTATTTCAAAATATGACAGAAAGATAATCGACAAAACTTTATTTGGCACCTGGCTCATGGTTTCCCTTAATCCCATGTTCCAGGTTGAGACTGCTTACTCTGCAGCTCTGTGTTGGAATACAGAACTGAGCTTCCACTCTAAGGCTCAAAAACTTTCAGTAACTGTGCTTTTGGGCCCATCTGAGCCTCATGCACAAGCTGGTCTAGACTCCAGCTTTTCCTAAGTTAACAGTATTTTCTTTTGTCTTTCTACCTTCACTACGTCTGCATGGAGGCAGGGAGGGAGGAGGTCATTGATAGATCTGAGAGCTTCGTGCCAGGGGTAGTAAACAGGAAGCCGAGCATGATGGAAGGACGGAGTATGAGCAGAGTTGGAAAATGGCAGTAATATGAGCAACCCACATAGTTACTGGGATATATACAGAGGGGAAAGGGGCTTAGAGTTCAGGTGACAGCCATACCCAGGGGTCAGTTCTCCTCCCATGCTCAGGCCCAAGCCCAAGCCGCTGTGTAGCAGGTTTGGCGTCTTTGTGGAGGTCGTCTATTCAGAAGCTCGTAGAGGATGTGTACTTGATTCTGACTGGGAGATATGCTGGCTGCCTTTAGTCTGTGCTCTCTTCCTCCACACCTTCAAATTTTCACACAAAAGTCCTTCAGGCACATAGAGGACCTGGTACTGAATACATGTCATTGGAAGTGCCCTTCCCAGGCTTCTTACCGTTTTGACCATCATTGAAGTCCTGAGGTCTGGGAGTGGGAACTTGTCATTTCAGGAATCAGTGACTTTTGAGGATGTGGCCGTGTGCAGGAATGGGCCATCCTGACGCCCACGCAGAAGGCATTGTACAAGAAAGTGATGCTAGAGAACTATGCAGCTGTGGCCTTCCTCGGTAAGGCGCCCTGCTGCAGGTCTCTGCCTGGGTCATCGGAGGTTGAAGGGCTCTCATTTATTAGCTGACCCCAAATGGCAATGTCAGAGGTTGCAGATATAGAAAGCCATGAGGGTCTGTTTCCTTCCGTAGAACTTTCTTTTTTTCCCATCATAAAAGCTACCTTCCTTCCCTGTCTGCCTCAGAAATGACTCTCTAGGTATAGCATGGCTCAAGCTATATTTTGGTACCCTCACCTAGTATTAAACATTCAGTAACTGTGCTTTTAGGCCCATCTGAGCCTCATGCACAAGCTGGTCTAGACTCCAGCTTTTCCTAAGTTAACAGTATTTTCTTTTGTCTTTCTACCTTCACTACGTCTGCATGGAGGCAGGGAAAGAAACCAGCCCCTTAGATCCCTTCTGGGAGTTGTTCCTGGGAACTATGTGTTTGTTTCCCACAATAGAAATCCTCATCCTCTAACAAAGAAGGTAAAAGAGCTTATTTCCCGTTAAATAAGCGAGCACCTCCCTTAACCTCCCAGCGTGTCAGGCTTCTTTGGGAACCCTATCCTCACCTTGTTCCCAGGATCCCTCTCTATACCTCTTTAGGGTGTCACCTACTCCTCCTTGCAGCCATAGGCTGGATTGACACTGTGACTCTGCTTATAATTGCGATGTGTTTTCCTCCCCTTAAGCAGCATCACCCACTTCCAAACCAGCTCTGATCTCTCGCCTGGAGCAAGGGAAGAAGCCGTGGTTCACTCAAGTACACTGCGCCCTGAGCAGGAGGGACCGGAGAGTAGGTCACAAGAGTGAGTTGAGCAAGGAGTGTCTTGTCCAGTTTTGTCTTTTCCTTTGCCTTCTTTTCTTCAAAATGAAAGATGTGTGTTGTCTGTGCCCAGCGTCGAGGAGTACGTTGGCATCCTTGGTTACTCCAACTGCTCTATTCATTGCTTTCAACCCCTTGAAACTGGAGCACATAGCACTGAGCTTCAGTGCTTTGTACACAGGATGTTTTTATCACTGAGCATGTACAGAAAGTTTTTTCTGAATGCTAATGGTTATATATGATCACCTTTTCCAAGTTATCCTTTTTTTTTTTTTCTTTTGAGATATTTTTGCTGTAGGGCACATTCACTTTCCAGAGAGGCAGAGAGAGACAGAGAGAGTGTCAGAAATCACCCCCCAGGAGGGATAGCTGCACTGCAGTTCCTTCTCCTTCATTCTCCTCTTGGAATATTGGGCATGCTCGCACACGTGCCCAGTGTGAGTTTCAAGCCAGGGGCCCAGGACTTGAACCAAGGTCGAACATGTGGGAGTTCAGTGCCTTAACCACTATGGCACCTGCTGACCCCGTTTTGTTTTGTTTGTTTGTTTACAGTTACCAGAGGGTACATGTGAAAAAAAAAGAGAAAGAAAGCACACTCCTCTTGGGGGGGTGAGGGAGCACTGCCTAATGGGGTGTAGTCCTGCAGCAGTCTCCTCCTTGTCAGGATTTCCGGCATGCCTGGTATGTTTTTCAAGCCAGTCAGGCAGGTGGGTTCTATCTTCCTTAACCACTAGCCCAGTCCCAGTTTCCCCCAGTTTTAAAAAATTGACTGACTCGGTGCAATATTATCTGTTCACTAACTAATAGAGCAGGTAGAGAAATTTATTTTTGCTTTTTATAATATATTAAAATTTTAAGTTTTTAAATATCAAAATAATACAACTTATAGAAATTATGATTTTTCTTCCCCGTTAGGATGCAGCTTTAAACTAAGAAATCTTACTTACTTCGCTGAAATAATGTCACATGCAATAACATTAAAATTTCTTCAAAATCATCAGCACTGGGAAGACAGAAAAAAGGCTTAATTCTTGACTTTTAAGTACCAATTGTGCAAGTAAGAAGTCGATTTAAGGGCCACCTTAAGTGATGTCAAATGTGTATTTTCTTTTTCTGTAGACTCCTGGGTTTTCATATAGTTAATGTTTTCCAACTCATTAAAATTGTTCTTTTTTTATTTAGAGTGTCGTGTCTTTTTTTTTTTTTAAACAAAAGCTTTATGGAACTATCCACAAGCCACATGGCTCACCCATTTAAAGTATATAATTCAGTGTTACTTGGTATATTCACAGAGTTGTGCAAGCATCACTACAATCTTTTGTCACCCTCCCCCCCCAAAATAAATAGTCTCCCCATTAATGGTCACTCCACACCCCACAACTCTCAACTCTCAGTTTTAGGCAACCCGTTACCTATTTTCTAGTTCCACAGATTTACCTGTGGAGGATATTTGATATTAATGCAGTCATACCACATGTGGTCTTCTGCAACTGGCTTTCATCTAAGATAGTATTTTCAAGGTTCATCCGTTTTGTAGCAGTCCTTCATTACTTATGGTTAAGTAATTTCTAGGGGTGGATAATATATTTTACTTAACCATTCATCACTTGATGGGCATTTGCATGGTTTCTGTTGTTCAGGCATTATGAGTAATGCTGCTGAGAACATCTTTGTACTTTCATGCAGACATGTTTTCATTTCTGATGGGTACGTATTCTAGGTACATACTTGCTGGGTCATATGGTAATATGGTGGTAATATTATGAGCAGTGCCAACATATTTTCCAGAGTAGCTATACTGTTTTCCCCAGATCCTCACCAACACTTACTGTTCTTTATGTTTTGATCATAGCTATCTTGTTGGTCCTATCCCATCAGTGCTGTCTCATTGACCTGCATTTCTTAAGTGTTAGTGCTTATTGGCTGTCTTTGGAGAAATGTCTTTTCAAATCCTTCACACATCTTAAATTGGGTTGTCTTTTATTTCTGTGTTGTAAGAGATCTGATATATTCTAGATATTGAATCCTTATGAGATATGTCATTTGCAAGTATTTCTTCCTATTCTGTGGGATGTCTTTTCACGTTCCTAACTTGCTCTTTGAAACACAGATGTTTCTAATTTTGATGCAGTTCCTTAGGATTTTCTATATACAAAATCATGCTATCTGCAAATAGAGGTAGTTTATTTTTTTAAGAGGTTTTTTGCCTTAGAGCATGTGTGCTCGCCAGGGGGGGAGGCGGGAGACAGAGACAGTGAGAGGAAAAATGACAGGGCCACGCCGAAATCCCTTCTCCTTTATTCTCCTTCTGGGATCTTGGGCATGCACACACACGCACCTGGCATGAATTTCAAGCCTGTGGTAGGCCATGATGTGGGAGTTCAGCAATGTAACCTCAGCTCCATCTGCTGGTCCCAATAGAGGTAGTTTTACTTCTTCCTTTCCAATATGACTGCCATTTATTGATTTGACGGGTTGATTGCCTAATTACATTGTATAATCCTATTTATATATATTGTTGCATTTGGTTTGCTAGTAGTGCTTATTGGCTGTCTTTGGAGAAATGTCTTTTCAAATCCTTCACACATCTTAAATTGGGTTGTCTTTTATTTCTGTGTTGTAAGAGATCTGATATATTCTAGATATTGAATCCTTATGAGATATGTCATTTGCAAGTATTTCTTCCTATTCTGTGGGATGTCTTTTCACGTTCCTAACTTGCTCTTTGAAACACAGATGTTTCTAATTTTGATGCAGTTCCTTAGGATTTTCTATATACAAAATCATGCTATCTGCAAATAGAGGTAGTTTATTTTTTTAAGAGGTTTTTTGCCTTAGAGCATGTGTGCTCGCCAGGGGGGGAGGCGGGAGACAGAGACAGTGAGAGGAAAAATGACAGGGCCACGCCGAAATCCCTTCTCCTTTATTCTCCTTCTGGGATCTTGGGCATGCACACACACGCACCTGGCATGAATTTCAAGCCTGTGGTAGGCCATGATGTGGGAGTTCAGCAATGTAACCTCAGCTCCATCTGCTGGTCCCAATAGAGGTAGTTTTACTTCTTCCTTTCCAATATGACTGCCATTTATTGATTTGACGGGTTGATTGCCTAATTACATTGTATAATCCTATTTATATATATTGTTGCATTTGGTTTGCTAGTGCTTTTTTTTTCAGGATTTTTTCTGCAGTTTTCTTGTAATATCTTTGTCTACACTGATATTAGGGTAATAATTGTTTGCACAGAATGAATTGGGAAGTATTCCATCCTCTTGTATTTTTGAGTTTCTGAATAATTAGTATTAAATTTTGTTATGTTTGATAGGAATCACAGTGAGCCTGGGCTTTTTCTTTTTTTCTTTGTGAAAGAGAGAGGAGAGAGGGGAAGCTGAATATAGCTAGAAGGACCGTATTTGGGGAGATACCTGCTATAAATCTGAGATGGCAAAGACTTGGTAACATTACAGGTCATAAGTGAAGTCATTTCGGGTGGTGGACTAGGTCTGTGTGCTCCAGATCCACTACTATGTTCTGTGTCTTATGTATATTTCTCAAGTAAATCATAAGCTTTCTGATAGCAGGGGTAATCTCATACTTTTCTAATTTATGCCATAACATTTTATACAAAACTACCTGATGTATTTTGCTTGATTTATTGAGACTCTTTCTTAACTTTATTCCTCCCAGTTGTTTCTCTGTTCCTCTCCTACTTATCTGAGTCTCTATTTTGCTTTCCTATCCCCTTTTGTTCTCAGGCATTTTATACTGTCATTCATTCCTGTATATCCCATGGCCTTCCAGTAAGAGGCTTCTTGCCTATCCTGAGCTTTTTTTTTTTTTCTTCTAACCTTTTAGGCATTTTAGACTTTTCCTTGCCTTGCTTTTTCTTCTTCTTCCTCTTCTCTTCTTTTCCTCCCCCTCTTTCTCCCCTTCTCCCCTCCCCTTCTTCTCTCCCTCCTCCTTCTCCTCCTCCTCTACCTCCTCCTCCTCCTCCTTCCTTTTTCTTTCTTCTTCCTCCTCCTCCCTTTTTCCTTCTTCTTCTTCCATTATTTGCTTTAGGGCACCAGAGAAACAGAGAGATAGACAGAAAGCAAGAAATCATTCTCCCCTATGGGGGGATGGCCAAGCTACAATCCCTTCTCCTCCATTCTCCTCTTGGGATCTTGGGCATGCATGCACACGTGCCCAGCGTGAGTTTAAGTCACTGGATCCAGGACTCGAACTGCAGTCGGCTACATGGGAGTTCAGGGACATAGCCATTACGCTAACTGCTGGTTCCAATACGATGCTGTTTTGATGATCACAGCTTTGTAATATATTTTATGGTCAGAAGGTGTGATGCCATTCACTCCTCTCTTTTTGTGTAGGATTGCTTTGCCAGTACGGGATCTTTTATGATTCCAGACAAATTCTATGATTGTCTTTTCTAGATCTGTGAAGAATGTCTCTTGTAGTTTCATAGGGGTTGCATTAAATATATAGATTAATTTGGGTAGGATTACCATTTTGATTATATTAATTCTCCTAGTCCAGGAATATGAGATGTCCTTTCACTTTTTTGTGTAATTTTCTATTTATTTTTTAAGATTTTCATAGTTTCCTTTATAGAGGTCTGTGACTTCTTTGGTTAGTTTTATTCCTGGGTATCTTATACTTTTTGTGGTTATGGTAAATGGGATTACTTTCTTTAGTTCTGCCTCTGTCTGTTTGTTGTTTGTGTATAGAAATGTTATAGATTTTTGTAAGTTAATTTTATATTCTGACATTTTACTCTATGCATTTATTATTTTGAGATATTTTTCCATGGATACTATTGTGTCTTCTATATCATATCATCTGCAAACAGAGATAATTTCAACTATTCTTTCCCTTTTGGAATGCCTTTTATTTCATTCTCTTGTCTGACAACGTTGGCTAGGACTTCCAGTACTATATTGAATAGAAGTGGAGAAAGTGGGCAGCCTTGTCTTGTACTAGTTTTTAGCTTTTCTCCACTCAGTATAACATTAGCTATAGGTTTTCCACAGATGGCTTTTATTATGCTGAAAAATGATCCTTCTATGCCAATTTTACTGAGAGTCTTAATCATGAAGGAATGTTGTATTTTGTCAAATGCTTTTTCTGCATCAATTGAAATCATATGACTTTTTATCTTTCTTCCTGTTATTGTGGTGTATTACATTTATGGTTCTGCATATGTTGAACCACCCTTGCATCCCTGGAATAAAGCCTACCTGGTCGTGAGGAATAACCTTTTTTATATTCTGTTGGATATGGTTTGCAAGTATCTTTGGAGAGGTTTTTTTTTGTTTGTTTGCTTGTTTGTTTTGCTATAGGGCGCGTGTACTTGCCAGACAGAGAGAGACAGAGAGACAGAAAGCAAGAAATCACCCACCGGGGGGATGGCCATGCCGCAATCCCTTCTCCTCCATTCTCCTCTCGGGATCTTGGGCACACACACACATGCGCCCAGCGTGAGTTGGTTTGCAAGTATCTTGTTGAGAATGTTTACATCTGTATTCATCAGAGATATAGTTCTGCAGTTTTCCTTTTTTGTCATATCCTTATCTGTTTTGGGAATGAGGGTGATGGAGGCGCGGGTCCCGGGGGTGGCGGGGCTTACTTAACACTTTAAATATATTTCCCCATTTTTTTCCTTGCTTGCATTGTATCTGATGAGAGATCCAGTGTTAGCCTGATGGGACAACCTTTGTAGGTAACTTGACATTTCTCTCTTGCAAATTTTAGTATCTTACCTTTGTCTGTGGTTTTGGCCAATCTGGCTGTGATGTGTCGTGGGGAGAATCTTGTCGGATTGATTCTATTTGGGGACCTTTGTATTTCTTGGATTTGAATGTTTGAGTGCTTCTCTAGTCTTGGAAAGTTTTCTTCCAGGATGTCATGGAATACATTATCATTGCCTTTATTGGTTTCTTCACCTTCTGGGATACCAATTATTCTGATGTTTGGGTGTTTCATGGTATCTAATATTCCTTGTATATTCTCATTTTTCTTGGTTATTTTCTCATTATTTTTTATAATTTTTTTCTAGGTCAGTGGTTTTGTCTTCTACCTCTGAGATTTAATCTTCTGTATGATCTAACCCTGCTTTTTTTTTTTTTTTAAGAAATTATTTAACTTTATTTATTTATATTTTTAATTTGACCAGAGAGGGA